TTTTTAAGTAACTCACTTAAATATCGCTCTTTTATATATTTACAACTCTATGCTATATTGTCGATATCATGAAAGGCATCGACGTGTTTTTGCATTGCTTGTTAGCGATTTGTCAAATTGTTGATCCGCATTTGGTCATCTTGCTCTATCCCTATACTGGTATCTGATCCGAATTTGGTCACCTGGATGTCAATTCTGTATAAACAAATTTTAACTCGGTCCTTTTTAAGATCTAAACTAATTAGAGACGTCAACGTCATTTCTAAGATCTAAACTAATTAGAAACGTCATTTAGGACCTGACACAGCCGGAAGTAGCTAATTAGATTACTATGTGAATTCCGTATCTTCCACTGAGAAAAATTTTTATCGGATAAACCAATTAAACATCGTTTCCGATGGTTGTTGTTTCAAATTACGTTTCCCGATTAAATTATGAATACATCTGATGAAATGCAGTCACCGATGAAACTTGATTGAAAAATCGATCGCATTGTTTTATCGGATATACAATTTAATCGGATATATCCGTTTGTTATTATGTTACAATTGGATTATCCGATTATATTTAATCGGACATTTTTCTCAGTGTACGCTACAGTGAAAATGCTAAAAGTAAATAGCTTCGTCTCTTTCGAATCGTCCCCTTGGAAACGCTCACTTTTAGCATTTCCACTATACTGTAAGATACAGAATTGAACCCCTTACCCTACTTTGCGTAGCTCGCGTTCCTCCGCAAATAAAACCGCACCATTGAAAAATAAGTAAATGGAGAGTAAAACGAACGCCGGTTTTCATTTATTTTCACGAATCGCTCTCCTTCTCAACGCGACGTACTCAAAGAACCGATCGTATTTATCGTCGGTAAAGCGACGTGGAAAATTAAACGCCGACGCAATAATACTCGCAGGCCCCGAGACGTATCGCCCGCGCTTTATTTCGGGGGAAATTTCGTGTTCCACGCCACGAATGATGGTGAAACGCCATGTGTTCCTTCCCACCGGAATTACCCCGAAACTTTCACGGCGAAGGGTCGAAAAATTGCCGGGTCGATCGCGCGCTGTTTTTAACAAATTAACCGTTCGGTTGCTCGCGCATCTTGATCGTTTTCTAATACGAGATGTACACGCTGCTTTACATTCCCGAGACTCAACGCTGCGCGTTTCTGCGTTTATTTCTGCAATCGTTTTGAGAATCTCAGACATTTCTTACGAATTCCTCAAACATTTTCCATAGTAATTTTATTAGAGTAATCTACTCGCTTGTTCCACACTAATTTTATCGAAGAATCCACCTCGTTTTCCCCTTCTCTCCCGTTTCAAAAGAAATCGAAAAGCTCACTTTACAGTTTAATTATTAACTCGGCGCTTAACGTTTATCACTCTTTGCCAACTCCATTTCTAATTCTGAAAAAGCTTACTTTGCAAATTAATTATTAACTTGACACTTAACGTTTATTACTCTTTGCTAATCCCGTTTCTAATTCCGAAAAAGCTCACTCTGAGGCTTAATTAATGTTAACTCAACACTTAACACTAATTGCTCTTTGCCAATCCTGTTTCTACTACTGTCTCTAGAAGAAAACGAAAAAAAAAGAACAGTTAAATTTCGAAAAATATATTAAGCGCAGGCTCTGTACAAGACCTTCTTCTTCCACGTGTATCAGGGTTAAAGCCTGTTTTATCTAGTTCTCCTTCTGGTACCTTGAGCATTTGATTTTACTTCATCTTCGGTAGGCTGCTAAAACTTGCTGAAGGAAACCCCCTTCTGAACGGCTACACCTTTAAAGCCTAGTGCAGACTGCACGCAGCAAGCGGCAAGCGTCGAGCAGCGAGCATCCAACACTGCTGAATTTTACGGAAGCGTCAGCAGTGGCGTAGAAAATATCTCTTCGTTGATTGGCTACTGCTCGACGCTTGCTGCTTGCTGCGTGCAGTCTGCACTAGGCTTAAGGCTGCGTTCAGGAACACCACCCGAGTACCCCAGCGTCGTTCTACCCTTGTTGCTCACCGTATGTTAAACAAGGATTAAATGATACACTGGGGCATTCGTGTGATATTCCTGAACGCAGCCCGAAGGGGTGTGTGTGGCAAGATTCTCTCGGTGGTTGCCACTTCCCTTCGGGAGATTCCGAAAAAACCCAGCGGTGTCCGTGGATTTGAACTCGGATCTTTTTCGTTCATTCGTTCACTAAGCGGCGCACATTTCTCCGCGCCACGCTTGCCACCGTACAAGACCAATAATGTTAAATATGGTAAGGGCGGTAAAAGCCTCTGACGAATTTTGCGCGATATCTAAAAAGGTGTTTGCGCTTTGTTAGACGTAAAAGAACACGCCGCTAGTTAAATTTCGGTTAATTCTAGCCAGCGCTCGTGACTCTCGAAAGGCCATGCAGCGATGCCTCGCGAGGCATCTGCAAAGAACTGCCAAGAACGATTCGGCGAATTGAGAAGAGCCTCGAGGATTATTTCCGCCACGGCGAGCAGTTTAAGTCGGAGCCGCGCAACGCTAAGGAATTCCGGTACCCTCTCGCTCGCGAAATCCGCAGCTTTATTACGCGAGCCTGACGCTCGCGGAATATTCGCCGCGCGCGCGCGCGCGTTCCCCGTTTCTCTCCCTAGGTAGAAACGTTTATTTTTGTTAGAAATTCAACGCGTACGTTCTCGCCGCGCGCGCCGTGGAGGGTGCGGTATGTATTTTTGTTCTCTCCCCGTATATATACAGGAAGAGATGCTGCACCGAGCGGCGCGGCGGCTCTCGAGCGAATTTACCGCGCCCGGGCCGTGCGATACCGTTAAAGGCAGCGCCATTAGACGTACGTACGTAGCAGCGACGGCAGCAGACGTATCGCGAAACGTATGTACGTATCGCGGCGGCGGCGGCAATAGCGGTCGGGCCGTCAGTAAATATGGGCCGAAGTAGATACCATTAAATCCAGACGCGGTACAGCGCGCCGGCCGGCTCCGCCGCCGCCGCCGCTGCTGCTGTTGCAGCTACTATTGCTGCTGTTGGCCCGCACTTCGAATCGTTCGTCTTAAATTGCCCCCATTAAACGCACGTACGCGCGCGTAAATCCTCGCGGTGTCGGCCGCCGCCGCCGATTCGATTATTCGCTCTATAATTCGGCTCGTTGCCTCACGCTCATGTGCGTTACACGGCCACGTGTTTGTTCATTACGTTCCGTTGTCGTGACGTTGATCGATCTAGCGCCGCAAGATTGCACGGGGCGTTTGGGAAAGTGACGCGCCGTAATCGCACGCACGTGTACGGGGTTTCGTTAAATTAATCTCAAATGAAAATCACGGGCGCAAGGTCAGGTAATTATGCCGCAACTTTTCGCGCCCGTGGTCTCTAAAAGTCAATCAGTGGATTATCACTGAAAACGGCGAATACCTAGTCGTGAATTTGCAGTTGTAAGTGTACCACGAGTAGCGAGTGTGGCGCAGAGAAATGTGCGCCGTTTAGTAAACGAATGAACGAAGTTCTGTTAACTGTAAAGCACTGAGTGCGCACTACTGCAAGCAATCGAATTCGATATAATATAATAAAAAAAATAGATACTTGTACAGATACAGCTTCCTTTGATGAAACTTTGATGAACTTCAAAAAGGCGTTAATATTATACAGAGAAGGCACTTGATTTTCAGGAGATTACGAGCCTGAACGATGAAAGAGGCTTTCAAAAAATATAAATGCCGAATTTAGGACTGATATTGCGATGTAATTGGGTAGACCGCGTGTGAGCATTTTCCCGGCAATTTCGATAAAGCTGAAATTTAATGAGAAATTTAATTAAGAAACTAATTAGTCTGACTTAAAATTAAGTGGCGCGATAAAATGATGCTGAAGATAAATAAAGGGCTACATTCGTCTCGATTAACTTTCAATAAATGTATCCATTAATCATAATTCCAATTTGAGAAAATATTTGACCCCGAAAATTTAGGCTTTTCCAATAATCCTTTGACGCGTCGTTATATAAATCTCAAGCGACCCCCTTTAAAGGAGACCAATGTCGGGATGAAATCTGTTCGAAATTGTCCCAAAAGTTTTGCGCGCAAAAAGAAGATACCCTTGCGCGATTCCATTTTCATTTCGAGTCGCATTTCATTCGAAGTTCCGTGTCACTGTTATGAGAACGGCCGCGTTTTTTGTGTAAAATTGATAGACGATGATGAGAGCCGAGACAGGAATTGCCGTTAGGTACTTTTTACGTCTTTCTTTTACTTAACGGCAAAGTGCGACCCAATTCGACAGACCTCTATCATCAATCTTAAATGATTATTGCCTCATCAGCTGATTCGATTAAACCTTTCTCCTCTCTCGTCCAATTTGATAAGCTCTCGCTTCTCTTACTGAAGTCAAACTCAAATTGTCTGACGTGACACGTCATAAATCAGACTTCGCGATTAGAAAATTAAATAAATTATTGCGTCAAAATGTACGAAGAAATATTAAATCGATTTGTTTTAAAGATCCTCCTTTGTTTCGGAGAAGTTCTCTTAGATTATATCTCGTTCTAAAATTGTATTACTTGAAAATGAGAATGCAACACGGAGTTTGGGAGAAAAATGTTTACAACAATCGTGCAAAATAATTAAAGATAATTCCAGTATACGCGTACAATTAGTATTCTTTATGATTTACGTATGTTATAAATCTTCATTAAAAATAAATGATAGATAGTCCAGGGCCAAAAACAAACGAGCACCGACAGGTGTTATTTCAAATAAATTTTATGTATCTATTTATTTGAAATGTCACCTATCGGTGCTCGTTTGCTTTTAGCCCTTGACTACCTATTCTTTGTTTGCACACATTCACGAGTTTTTGATTATTTTTCATTGCAGATTTTTAAATCCTTTTAAAATTGACTAGCTTATCTTTATACACGTGTACTTGCGTCTTCTCAATTTCTAAAGGATTGGGAAGGAAATTTCCCTTGGATTCTCGTCCACAATACAATCCGACTGATCGATAACGTTGCGCTTTGTGTTTCAGAGAGCCGAACTGCAAACTGAGGTCTCTAAACGTGTCCAAATGTCTTCTTGGCGGCTTGGACGCCGGTTGCCTAGGCGAGACCGTAAGGAAGGCCCGCAATTTAGATGCGTTGAGGGCCGCTGGAGCGTCGAGGCCGGCCGATGTGATGCCCTTAGTGCTGGCCCTGACAGAGGCACCCTGTCTCCAGCTGCTAGATCTGTCTAGTCCCCGGCTGGCTTTGGACGATCATCCTTCGAGGCTGCTGTGCCACGCTCTGGCCAGGAACTCGACTCTTAAGCTGCTCAGTCTAGAGGGATGGACTTTCCGGATAGAGGTAAGTGTGCCGTTGTTATTCACATGGCTTGTTACACGGAGGGAATTTTCTTTTAAAATTTACCCTGAAAATCGTATAATTATGGTACATTTTAAAGGATTTTACGAGAGCTTTTTTTAACTTTGCCATACATTTTACCAGTAAAATTTAAAAAAACTCTTATAAAATTCTTTGAAATACCGTGTTGCCTCGCGATCACATGATTTTCAGGATAAATTTTAAGAGAAAGTTCTCTCCTGTAGTTACGCTTTAGCGCGTTTTATTTGTAATCGTAATGAAAAGAATGTGTAGTAAAAGTAAACGAAAAACCATTAAAAGAAGAATTCAGACTCGTACAAAGCGGCAAGGGGATTAAATCCTCAAACGATAGTTCCGTGAAATCCTCGACTTAAGATACATCGGTGAAGTTAAAAATATATATGATGAAATAATCGTATTCGTCACATTTAATTTTCGGCATATTTAAATGAAAGCATAGCAACATCGTCAACATAAGTGGATAGAATTTTCAGAAATCGGATAAGCTCTTTCGTACCGTTTTTCGTAACGAGTAGGAGAATCCATTCCTTAACAAATATAAAAATTTCTGCGCCTTACAGGGGAAAATTTCAATGTGAGATTCGTTATTACATCCCGCGAATAAACATCTCGTACAGAGCAGGCGACGAAACGTCTAGACCCCGTCGTAACATCATCTATTTTCGTATTTTCGCGTGCGAGGAAGAGCAGAGCTCGCGAAGGCGAGATCGCGGGCGGCGAGATAAGGATAAATTAGAAGGAAAGGAAATTATTTGCTCTTCCGTGCGGGCGTGCAATACGGAAGAGGTGCGAGACGGTAATGTTCCGCCTTCGCAACCGCAGAAACTCACAATAGCACGATCGAAAATGGAAAAGGAACCGAACGTCCAATCGATGGTCTCGATCACAATGCACAAATTTTCCGTTTGTGCCATCGAAGATTCTCTAAGATCGTACATAAGTTAGTAACGCAAACATTGAACATCCTTTCTAAAAAGTTCGACGATACGCGAAATAGAGAAATATTCAAATGTTGCCTTCTAAATCGCAATTATACATAAAATTCGATTGGAATATGTTTGAAATGTTGGTGTGTGCTGTGCAATAAGTATTTTATGAAAAAGGATTTTGCAATAAGAGATTTTTATACTGACATTTATACTGATGCAAAATTAATAGACATCGTCAGTTGATTCCACCATGAGTTTATTGCCCTCGGAGCGAAATCTGTTTAGTGGAAAGTTCGTTGTTAGATCGTGTAATCGTTACGAAAAAAGATTTGCGATTGAATTGGGGCGTTGAAAACCTGTTATCTCACATTGAAAACCTATTTCATAATAGAGGACTTTCTTCAATTCTATATTCTGCATCAAATGGTTAGCTCTTTAGATACGTAAATACTGAAAAATCGTAAAGTAGGACATTCGTTTTAAAAGTATATTTCTACGGCGCCGTCACTTCGGCGCCAACAGTGAATTATCGATCGAGATTAGTGTCAATGCGGCCGTAATTAATATTAATTAATTGCTATATTTGCTCGCAGCACTCGTCAGTCATTTCGCCGCGCGATGCAAAATTGCATGTAAATTATCTACGTCGTGTCGCATGTGGATATCATTCGGCCTGTATCGAGTGTCCTTCGTTTCGGCGATAACAAGTGGCGATACCCGCGAGCCCCGTTAACCGGTAATCGTCAACGATGAAAATGAGGAGTTCGCGCGACGTTCTGACCCAAACCGGTGCATCCGGCGACGCAATCTTCACGTTCGATAAACACCTCTTACGACCGACGTACGCTCGCACTCTCGGCCCGGTGGTAATAACGATAATAATTAATATTTACCGGGACCAGGCGAGAGGAGCGACGGTGAAATAACGTCAGATTAACGTAGAACATCGATGTCATAACAACGTGGCGCTCAACCGTTTCGCCCCGAAATTTCCATAACCGTGACTCGCCCCATACGCAATATCCCGGCCTCTAACGTAAATTTCATGGGGAAACAATCTTAACGCGTAGCTCGTTGATTTCAATAAACTTAACATCGAGCACTACGAATTACTTTATGTTAGGATTCTTAGATGAGCTTCCTTCACTTGTTTATTCGATGCCGTTTCTATTTGTATGAATTTGTTAAATTTTCTTCTGTTATTATTTTTTATTTAGTTACTTGTACAATTTGCCTCTAGCAACGCTTGTCCGGTCTAATTCAGTTCCGATTGATAAGACTTAAGAGAAAAATGTTTTTTTTTATATAAAATGCATATCCGATTTAAATTTTCATGATCCACCGTGTGACAATTGAGTGGGCAAAAGTTAAGCATGCCTTTTAATTTATAAACAATACCGACGAAATATTTAATTCGTTTAATTTATGACGATTTCTTGAAGAGGTACGCCTTTGGTCAGGGGTACACCTTCATTTTCTGCCGCTGTAATCGCGTCTAAATAAGCATCTCGCGGAATCTATAAAGGGATGCAAGAGGAATCGCTCTCATCGGGAAACTGCAATATCGTTTCGATACGAAGTTCTCTAGTTAGATTCACGAGTCAATATTGTTTCCATTTCGTTAAGCTTTGAGACGCCAGGAAAAGCCGAGCCGAAGAGAGAAACGAAAGAAAGAGGGCTAGATAGATAGATAGATGAAGAGAGAGAGAGAGAGAACACGCTTCAGAATTTACAGGGTGAGGTCGGTTCCGCGGTATGCGTTCGGAATCTGCAAGACTGCGCCCTCGGGGTGTGCCCTCGAGCTTTCGAAGAAGTTATCGAACGCTTCGAGAGATCGACGAAAGAAATCAACGAGGGGCGGCCTTTGGCCCGCCAACAGTAACTTCGTATGCCGTAGCAAAAGGGAATCGACTGGAACTCCGCGGTTTTCCGTCGAGTGTCCGATCTGTCTGCTCTTTCGAACCCGGAAATTGCCCGGCAAAACATTTTTGTAGCCTTTAACCTGGTAAACTAACTTTTTTAAACCTGTCACACACCGTCGTGAGATCAAAGCGGCGTGGCATGTCATAACCGCGAAATCCCGAGCAACTTCTTGCGTCAGACGTTTCAGACGTTTCTCGCGTATGTATCGAGAAAATTTTAATTGCCCTTTACATTGTACTTGTTGATAAATATTAATTTAATATTTCGTGGTGCTCAATACTGTATACTTATAGAAAAATAAAACTACAATGAGTAGTTGTAAAGTTATGAAATTCGAGATACCGCGAAAAATAAGACAAGCACAAGTCAAAGTCCTGCTTCAAGCGGGATTTTTCTCTACATTTTTCTTTCGTATTTTAATTCGGGATTACATTTAGGACAGTAAGCGTAAATTACGCGCGAAAAAGAACCGTCGATTAAAATTCCCTTTTCATAGTAATTTAATAAGAGAACTAGCTGTCCAAATAATTCAAGAGGAAACATATTTCTTCCGCGCGAGGGATTAAACTTGAGGAACTTAGTAACAACATTTATTGCGCGCAGAACCACGCAGGGCAGCGCATGTTTATCGCTATTTATTTACCCGGCGAATATTGTTTACAAGCCGCGAGTTCCCGCCGAGCTCCCGGCCGCAATTAAAGACTTTCAAAGTACACGCTAACGAGCGCGGTCGCCTCCGTCCGTCGTGCGACGCAACAACCTCGTGCGTTTAATCGCTCGACGTTTAATCACATTCATAACGACGAAATTTTGAGGCGCGCACCCCGTAGAGCGGCTGCGGATGCTGAAAATGCGCTAGGGCCCGTTTTCCATTCGCCAAACGCGCGACTTATGAAACAAATTCCCTCTTTACCGCGACATTAAATATCGGATGTTAATTATTTTACGTAAAAAAAAAAACTCACTTGGTATTAAGGACGCGTAGTTACGCTGACGTAATGCTATGCGAAACTACGGGAAATCCTTAAAAATCCCACACAAGTATTGAAAAGCATCGAATTGAGATCTGAACTGTAAATGTAATTAGAAGGAGGGTAATCGGCGTCGATTAAGGAGATTATCATCGTGATTATTTTTCTCTCATTTACGGCGACAATGTCGCGGCTTAAATTTGAATACGAGCCACTTTGCGCCCCGCATTATACACGATAGCCTTTTTAGCCTGCCACTCGCCCTTATCCGTCCCTTCTGCCGCGGAATTGCCGGCGCGACGAGCCGTTATCTCGTCAAGATACGAGCTGCGAGCGACAGAGACGATCTTGCCTGTAAACGACCTGAAATTAGGACCGAAGGGACGGAGGGACGAAAGAAGAGGACGCGGCCGCGAGTAATCCCAACAGTCGCATACCCTGCGAGCGGATAATTAATTATCGGCGATTCCGGTTCGCGCTAAGAGAAGCGTGGAATAAGGGCGGCGGCGGCGGCGGAGGCGCGCGCGCGCGAAGGGTGGCCTCCGGGATGGCTCGAGTATTGTTTAGACGCTCACTAATTACGGAACAGTCAGCCCGGGAGCTCGACCCGCCGGGCGGAAGCGAGTACTGGAGATACCTTCAATTTATTTTGCTCTTACGCGGCGCGGACCCCATTGTCTTGGCTCGTTTATTAACGGCGACGCCACTCCGCGGTCTGTTCGCGAGGGTGGATCTTTAAGAGCGTGTTTTTCACAGCGGGACACGGGCCTTGAAAAGGCATTCGTGCACCCATTTCCGCAGCATCCCGCGGTTTCAGACGGACAGGCTGTTTATAAGCCTCGTCCACCTTTCACGAATTTTGATAACCTGACATCCCGACGTCCGTTTCCTGCCATTTAAAGATCTCAGCTTAATTCGGTTGTTAAAGTCGAAAAAACAGACGCGAAGATGTCGTCTTTATACTGTTGTTGCGACAAACATTAGTCCCAGTCTACAATAGATGATTTAAGCCCTAAGCTTTAAGAAATTGGCCAATCACGGTCAAGTATGAGTAGAATGCGCGACTGTGATTAGTCAATTTCTTAAGGCTTAGGGCTTAAATCTCTATTGTAGACTGGGACTTACCACATGCCTCAGT